TTTATAAATATATATATATATATATTATATGTGTGTGTGTGTGTGTGTGTGTGTGTGTGTGTGTATGAAGTAATAAATAATAGTTACAATCTTTCCACATGTATTACAAGTATTATGACATGAGGTATATATTTCATATAATGCATTTATTGCATTTAGTGCACTGAATTCAATCTGCCTACTTTGTATACTTTGGACATAAATAAATCCCGCTAAAAATGTCATATATTCCAAACAGGTGATGTACAAGACAACAAATTAAACAAAGAATACAAGAGCAAAATATACTTTTGTTATACAATATGCTTTACTATTCCTCTACACTCATCTATCACGAAATAATCACAAATCTTTTGCACGTCCTAGAGTAATCATTTTGTAGATTATAATTTATGATGGCGCTACAGTGACAAATCGAGTCAACTCATAATAATTTCATTAATATTAACAGTAAGAAACTGAAATCATACAATATAACATAAATACTAATATAACATAAAGGCATGTAACAGAATAGTTGCGGGAAAATTATCCCCCATCTATTTTTCTACATCTATTTTTCTGACTTCTGCGGCGTAAATCCCAACGCGGCGTGCCGAAGTTATCCTATGGTTTATTATTTGCCGAAGTTATCCTATGGTTTATTAATTAAATTTTATTTTTAAACAAACTATATATATTGCAACATATATAATAACGCAATGTTAAATGCTTAAACCTGAAGTTTCTCACAATACATACGAATCTTTTCACATCTCCTTGTTCCAGATGGGATATATGGAAGTAGTGATACCGCCTGACATAATGGATGACGAGTCCGCAGATGGTATGGTCACTCACGAAGGAGGCAATATAAGATTGCGATGCGTCGCCACCGGTTCGCCGAAGCCTATTGTTACTTGGAAACGAGAAGATGGTCGTAATATTATCCTCAGAGAGGATGGGCAGAAACAATGTAAGTGAACTACTGTACTTTCAAGGAACTTCTATAAGTGATTTCTTATCTACGACATCTTAAGCAATACTGGTTCCGAAAATTTAATTAAAAAAATTAAATTTAAACTTTAATATCGAAAATTTTTTAATATATTAAGGAATATTAAAAATAAATGAAGAATTTAATTTTCACGAAAGAACGAATAATGAAACGCGGGTTTTCTATTCTAATTAAAAATTTGGAAGAGATATCTCATCCTTTTTTCATTATATTAATATTTCAATAATAATAACGAGGGATGCGATAAATTAGAAATCTAAATTTGAAATGCATTCAAGGCCTCCGCCGCTCGATAATTAATGTTCATCACTATAAGAGGCATTCAATAGACATATATTAGTGGATACATACATTAGTAGATTCGAGTACGCCGAGCTCAAAATATAACGTGCAAACTGCTGTGCAGTCCATGCTCTGATGAACTTATATTCACTTACCGTTGATATTTTAGAATAAGCTTTGAATCGCATTACATTCGCAGAACTCAGCATTCTCGTAAAATCGAGTTATCTGAGATTCCTTTGAAA